AGCCCAGCCCAGCCCAGCCCACCTCCCTCAGCCAAAAGCGGACCGGTTTCCTTTTCCAAGCGCCTCAGCCCAGCCCGTGCTCCTGCGCCCGTGTGTACCGGCACCTGCATCCCCGCCTCCGCAAACTGACTTACCTGCACAAACTGCTTGCATTTCAGGTAGATTTGGGGCTATTGCATTTTTTTCAGGACACGGATTCATTTATTCTCAAGGAAAATTATTTATGGCAGAATGTGTTATTGGCAGAAATAAACCAATCAGCCGGGTGACAGACACTTGATTGGGTTTTGGGTTTATAAAGATAGGCTGGAAAAGTTTCTGGACTGTTGAGTTGCAGCAGGCTGAGAGTTGCACAAAAGCCTTTCCCAGCACCTTTAACCATCTTCTGTGCAGAGTAAGGAGCCTTCAGCACCATCCTGGCGCTTCTGGAAATCTGAGTTCCGTTCTGTACTTGAGTTTAATTGGAAGCGGGCAGGATCTGTTCTTTTGAAGATGTTGTACAGCAGACACCAACTTAAGTAAGCAATACCAGAACTTAAAAGGAATTGGTTTCTTAATATGGTGCAGATATATAGTGCCCAAATTCACTGTGTTGTAACCCTTTACTATTTAATCTTTAATAACTGCCTCAGACACTTATTTCTAAATACTTAGTGAAGTAAGGCTAAAAGGAAATTAAAGAAGGGGGGGAACAAAACCCAGGTTATTTTATATACACCAAGCGGAGCAGTGACTAAAGCCAAACCCAGCAAGTGCCAAGCACAGTCCACTCACCTCTCATTAAAAAAAGGGAGGTTAGGACACTTGGTACTGTTCAAAACCAAGCACTGAATGTCCAGACATGACTCAGTGCTGATTACAAAAGAGCCTCGTGTTAACTTTCTACACAGTGACCTGGCTTACAGTGATTTCATTGTGTGATAACGCTTAGTTCACTGAAATAATAATTATAAAAAAGCGAAAAAAGCCCTTTTAGATTGATTTTGCAATAGTAGTGCAACAAGAAGCCAATCAAAACACACGAGAGTTTTATTTTTAATTATAGAACTAAAAAGGCTAATATTTTATTAACATAAGGTTGCAAATTAAAAGAGAAATGCCAGAACTCCTTAATCATCTCCACTGTAAAAATGCAAAAGACTTGTGCTTTTAACATCACCATAACGTACTACAGGACTACGTCCTCCCTCCCCTGCCCCTCTCCCTTCTTCCAAGGACTACTGAAAAATAACTCATTGACATATTTAATCTGAAACTTCAGACAACTGTTCTAAAGCAGTTACTCATCACAGTCATTTTCAGCCTGAACGATTTGTGTATCTCACAAATAAAAAACAACTTTAAATGAGAAATATTCAGAAATTATTACCATCTACACTGCAGATTTCACTTTTTACAGAGCAGTAGTTGAGTGCAAGTATTTGATAAATCATTCATAAATGCACGTCTTCCAATCTATTCTTACCCCATTTCCTTTTTTTTTTCCTTAAAAAAATAATCTTCAGCAGTTCACGTACTTCCTAGAATATACCTAAGCACAGCTATCCCTAAACCTAAAAATTTTAACTCCACCATTGCAAAGCATCCTATGCCACAAGTTCTCACCATAGGATGGAGTGTACCTTTTTTGAGGGACTTATTTAAACTGGAATATATACAAGTTCTAAATGTTTTACTTCCTACAGGGATGTCTGTCTTGGAAAACCACAAATACTTCTGTCAAAATACCAACTTGAAAGAGCAAAGTCAGGAATATGGATGAACACCTACAATCAATGGTTTTCCTTCCACTATGGCTTGAAATTATTTTGTTTGCATTGATGTTTAAAAGCATAACTAGGTTCATTTTGTCTCTAGAAAGTGTTTGAAAATAAAAGTGAAATCTAATGAGATGTGTATGCACGGGGCAGGACTGCCGTAACAGTAACTACCTCGCTTTCACATTTGGAGAGATGAAGAGCAAATTCTTCTGTAAACACATGATGCAGCATCATTACACGACCCAAGCCAGCCATGTCTGAAGGACAAGCTCGCCACAACTTACAGCAGGCCCAGAAGGTAGCCTTGGCTGGGCAGTACTCGAAGGCTTAGACCTGGTTTAAAGAACTAAGGTGCAGACTGTTTCTTCAGCAGAGTTTTGCCAGAACTTGAGTACAATTTGGTTTCCACATCTAGCAAAAAAAATGTGATTTATTAGGTTATTGCAGTGGACGTTTTGGCAGAGAAAGCAGGCACACTGAAGTATGCATCTGTTATTTCCAAAAAAAGCCAAACAATTTCACTGGTCTGGTTTAGAGAACTGGCCTGGACTGCCCAGAAGATAGCGTTTAATTCAGAGGATGGGGAGAAGGTCAGAAATAACATGCCAGGGGACACAAGGAATCTGCAAACAGCTTTGCTTGTTTGTGTCCAAGAAGTTGTACCAGGGAAGAAATTTCAGAAAAAAGTAACGCTACAATCCATCACACTACAAAGACGTTCTCTTGCAGAGCTCAGGATGCATTGCTAAGATATTAAAAATGACATCCTTGTGATCCACTGGGTTCACAAGCTGTGAGCAAAGACTCAGGAAATTCAAGAGGAAAAAACTAGGACATTTTTGCTGTAAGCTTCAGCTGGCCACAGTGGATTAGAGGAAATCCTTCAGCCAACGAGAGAAGCAACTCAATGGAAAATCCCGGCTCCCACCGGGCAGCCACCGCCATCCAGTGGGTACTGCTCACAGGCGCATGGACGCACACACTGAAATGAAGACAAGCATCTCATTTTCAAGTTGATTTTTGTAAATGGAAAAAAAAAACGTATAAAATCTATCCATACATTACAGATACAGGAAGTTACGCAATCCAGTTTACACCTAAAGTAATAGCAATCAGTCCATAACAAAAACAGGGAAAAAATTCCAACACTGTAATTTGTCTGAAGTCACCACAGGGCAGAGGACGTCAGGGGTAGGGTGGTTGGCTTCTTCTTTTTGGTGTGTGGATAAAACTGGCTACCTTCCCTACTTCCAAAGCAATGAGACAATTTCAACAGACATGTATTAGGAATACTTTTGAAATGCATCTGACTCTAGCATTAACACTGAATATTCAAAGATTCATATTATTACAGCATAATAGTTGGATACTTTTGCCTCCAGGAAAGGGCAGTGGGCAGTAGATATTATCCAAGAGAAATCCTGCACCCGTCTTAGAATTTACAGCATTGATTGAGTTAAAGATTTTTATTTTATGATTCTTATCCATCCTGGAACACTTAAAATTTGTGTATCCTCAGCTCAGACATTTACAAAGCATGCAGAAACTGTTACTACTCAAGGAACTTTTAGGAGGCTATGGAAGATGTGCTGGTGGGTATTGGTCTAATTTTAGTGAACTCATGTCTACCATTACATGCAAGCCACACCTGGCAGTAGTTCTCCCCTCACACCTCCATTTATTGGAGGCCTCAGAAGACAAGGCTTGAATGAATGGGCACAGAAGCTCAGGTACCATTTTAAGGAATAAAACAACTACGAGCAGGGGGCAGCTTGTGGGAATGCCTGCCCTGCTACTGGTGTACCTGTGGGTGAACAGTGTCAGTCTAGGGCTCAGAAAAGACACCTGACTGAATTTTAAAGGAAAAGGGAGACAGCTTAAACCCTGAAAAGACAGACTTCCTGTGTTTGACAGGTGTATTCAATATACACACACAAAGCAAGACAGTCAGCCGTGCTCATCATCCACCCAGAAGACTGCACCGTTTTTCTGAACACATAGAATATACAGCCCCTTTTCAAAATAACAACAACAACAATAATAATATTAATAAAGCAGAAGTGCAGAATCCAGACTGTTGGGTGGTCTGTTTAAAAAACATAAGAAAGAATAAAAGCTAATGCTGTAAAGACAACTATTCCCTTTCAAAGCAAAGGCCACATAAAACTGTGTTGCTCAGTTTGGTTTTTACTTCATGCCACCTGTAAACACAAGACTGGATATTCAGTTTCTGGGAAGAAATGAAACCACTTTTACATCCAGAGTAAAAGAAAGGCCCTTCACTGCCTGGATGACAGATTACCCAAGAAAAGGTAGCTGGGGGAATGCTTCCTCTTCTCATTTGTTCATTTCATTAGAAAGGTCATATCTGAACAAAGGAGCTTTCAAATAAAAGCACAAAACATTTCTTGATGTCATTTCTGCCCTCTGTCTCTAAAGTGTGCTACGGGGACTAATACTTTCCATTCCTCTCCAACAGATACATCACCTTTTTGGCACCACAGGTGGAATTTCTTCCTAATGTGTAATTCTGCCTTATACAAAAGTGATTGTCTAATCATGCAAATCCAACAGAATTCCAAAAAGTGCCACAAGACAGCTCAACTCTTTGCAATCTACTATCTAGTTTGTACGCTGCCATAGGAACCTCCCAGAGAACAGACTGTCATCCTTACTTAGAACTGATGGTGTATTTCATATATGGCATTTCAACCTCTCTGGGGGAGAGAATCGAAATCCATGTCCTGATTCCATTGATTTTTCACTCTCAGAGCTCTGAAATGCATGGAGATTTCTTTGATTTGTTGAAGACGTCTTCACTGAACAGCCTGATTAGAGAAAAACTTAACTGATTCAACCAAATAGAAAATAAAGACAAAAACAGGTAGTGGTAGATTTCTCAATCTTTGCTCCTGTCCTTGGAGACTAGGGTGGAGTTTCATCGCTACTGCATTTTCCCTAGCTGGATCTTCTTCCAGGCCTCTGATGCTGTGAAAATGCAGGAGTCGAGGATCCCAGCTACAGTAAATGTTCCTCCAATGATGGCACATATCTGAAAAGTACAGAGAGAGGAAACAGGTTTGTCAGTGATGAGGGAAACTTTTACACAGCTTGAAACTGGGGGGAAGGATATTATTGCCTATTGCTAGGGTGTTTTCTGGAAGCACAGTAAGAACTGGGTGACAGTACTGGCGACGTAATTACATGACAATCATTCAGGAAAACCATTCCCTACAGTGGAATAACTTAGTGCTATCCTGAACTCATCATAGCCTGAGCCAATCATAAATCCCAGCTCCTAGGAGCCTACAGCATGTATGCTGTTCCGTTCTGGGCTAAACTCCACCTAACAAAGCTTTCTAGAAGCTCTGTGTTGCTCATATCTTCCTACTACTGTTTTCTATTATAAATACCACGGCCTTGGAGTGTTTTCCCTATTTCACAAGATACAGCATTTGCAAACAGCAAAAGACACTTAAATAGCATGTGAAGGACAGTGACTAACAGAGAAACCTAGCTAGCAGTGACACCTACAGCTAAGTCTGTCTAACACTTTCCATGACAAAGGCTGCTTACAAAAGCACTGCCAACTTAACTCTTCGTGGGCCAAATTTTTCCATGCAAGACGTCTCGGGTTGAATTATTTAAACACCAGTAAAAACACGTAATCATTTTCAAGAACAAAGTTAGGGAAAAAATTAATCTCCTGATTAGCATAACAGCCTACTTCAGTTCCCAAGTGCTAGAAAAACGCAAAAGTATTCCGACATGTTAAACCAAAGGTACTTTGGCTTAGAGCACCCAAAATCAGGGGGCACCAGTTATCGACTTTGCAACACATTGCTTCAATTCCCTTATCTATGAAATGGGGACAATGCCAAACTTGCCTCCCAGGGAAACTGTGAAGGAAAACACATCTGAAGGGTTCAATACTATGACAATAGCCGTCTCTGAGTCCTTGTGGAAACATATCACTTGTACTCAGGACCAGGTTAATACAAGCCACCTGCTAGTAACAAGACAGCAGTCAAATACCGTAGGATGGGAAGAATCACCACTCACAGGGTGCCAGCCCACCCCGTGCACTGTTCAAGGCAGGGTTCACATGGAAAGTATGATACACAATAATGTAACCTAGTAACATTTAACAGCCAAGTTATAATTACACAGGACCTGGCATTTCCCAACTCCCATATTTTTTACTTCATAACTGTGATGCTCTTTTAATTTGGTCTTTTACGTTGCGCAGGATTAGGTGGTTCTGAGAATAAGAGACACCGGGTCAGTGAGAAGAGGACAAGATACAGAGCTTATCTTCTGAGAAGGGCCTGCCCAGGAAAAGGGGGATTTTGCTGTGAGCTAGAAGCCAAGAGAGAGAGAGGAACCCCAAATCAGTAAGCCAACGTAGCAGGGCAATGCAACTGACACAGAAGGGAACCGGTGCCACACTGGACCTACTGTGCCATGTCTCCTCTCCCACACCCCATAGACAAAGTTACAGACAAGAGAGTAACATAAGAGCAGCAGCGTTCAGCTCATCAAGGAGTTAGCGGTGGCAACAGAACAAACAGTTCATTAATGGTGAGCGAAGGCAACAAGAAATAAAGCACTCGTTTACATGAGTATTTATAACCGGGATATAGGCGTTTAGTGAGCTCAGTGAAATGAGGAGCTGCAGTAAACGTGGCTTTTGCAGGACAGTTGGCATTCCAGCAGATAAAGGCTTCAAAAACCAGAGTACCAGCCTGAGGCAAAGTTAGTATTTTTAGTGAACAAGTCCAGCTCCTGCCCTCTGTGCCCCCCCCTCCTTGCTATCCCTTGGAGCATGACGCAGGGTGACTTTTCAGGGAAAATGACCGCAATGGAGTTGGGTTATTTTCAGTCTACAGCAGCTCAGCTGACAGGAGATGTTACACCACAAACAACAGAAAACCCGTCCAACACTAAGATTTTGCATCATATGGTAGGAAAATCTGATTTCAGTGCAGCAGTGCAAGGGGTTGGGGAATAGAAAAAAAGTCTGCATTCATCTGCACAGCTCTGTACTGCTGAGTGTTTATGAGTCACACACACCTGGCATTTGCTTGGAGCCTGCCTCCCGGCACGCACACAGCCCTCTTGTTTCATTGTGACAAAAAAAAGGCAGCACCAGGGTTGGTCTGTAGGTCAGCACAGAAGCTGCACCACTGCGTTTCTTTATCATCACAGTTCTAATATGTATGGAGCGTTGCTCCTTAGCAGCACTGAAAGAAGTTAGGCATCATGCACTTATTTATATTTAATGGAATTTTACACCGGGAATGAGCTGCGTTTGGCTCCATGAGGTTACAGTTTGACTCGGGCCCAACCATTAAAGCAGGAAGGAAAAGGAATACAGAAGTGTAATAATTACAGCAGTGAGAGGCCATGCAATGTGGAGTACATATGAGGGTTTTAGAACAGAATATGATTATAGGTTAGTACATGCAGGCTGAAGTCTAAAGGAAAACACAAGTAGATATGTAAGAAAAGGCGAGGCTGCAAGGAAAAATGACAGAAAGGCAAGTGTCAGATACGTGAGTGTGGACCTCTGGGATGTCTTAAAATCTGAAAATTACTTTTTAGGATAGAGGGGACCACTAGGACTCCCAGGTAATTCCTAGTAAGGTAAGCTGCAGAATCCCACTCAGAGGTTTCTGGCTGACCTGCAGCACAGCTTGTAGAACAACACTCTCTTGGTTTTAAAAAAGCCACAGGACTGAGTCTATGATACATGTTGGTAACAGGTTCCATGGCTGAAATAATTCTCCCTGCAACCATTTTTTCCAGTTTAATTTTTTTCACACCTAGAGGGCACACGAGTCCTCTTGTATCAGGAAAAAAATTCTATTCTTTTCTTTGGATTTTGAATACTTCACCAGAACTTCAGCTTGTTTTCTGCCTGCTCTCCCCTCCCAGCCCCTAGACTGAGCTCATGATAAAACCTTCTTTCAGTTTTGCCACTTAGAGGAACTCATAAATTTTCAGCAGTGAAACTTTCCCCCTTGCTCCATCACCTCAACCACGAGGCCATGAATGGCTTCTCTTTATGGGGAGATGCCTTGATTTTAAGCAGTACAGTTTAACAGGCAAAAACTACTGTGTTTAACACTGTGCCAGGTGTCTGTGGTTAACCCCGGGATCCATGGCAAATTCACAGCACAGTGACAGTGGCAGCACTGACCCACAAGCAATACAAATCTTATTTAGTACTGATTTTTTTGAAGCGTGACATGTAAAGTAAAATCTGTGCTAAACCAATGCCTTTTGTCCTGCACAGGAAGCACCTCTCACATGGTACAGAAAATTAGGATAATTCTTCATACCACAAAAACCCAAGGAGCAGGCATGAGTTAGAGAGGGTTCACTGGGAACACTGCTATGGTGTTATAATGCTGCTAAAACCAGCGCTGAGGTTTTTGGGGGGCACACTCATTACTAACAAAGAGTATCAAATAACCTTCTCAGCAGCAGAATGAGATTCCTTTGGCTGTCTGCTGAACAGCCAAAACCCCTCTCTCATCTGACCACTCCACATGGGATCGCCCCTCCGTAGCGTATTCCTCCCTCCAACATGGACACCATTTCCCTGACAGGTGGCCATGCTTAGCCACACACTGTGTTACATGTCTAACTGCTAAAAGTGTCTTTCAAGCCCACAGGATCCTCCTCCATCCCCAGGACATGTTTAAATTTACTGAAAGCCACATGGGTGCCCTAGTAAACAATCTGCTCACTAAAAGGAGTCACAGGTGATCCCCCCCTACCCTACAGCCCCTCTTGTGGTTTTTAAATTAAGCAGCTGCTGCTCAGAAAAAGCTGATGCTTTCCTTGGCTAGCCCCGTTCGGCAACAACTCCAGATGCCCCAGCACAATCTCTGTCTGGACCTCAGCCCAGTGCTGATTATCACTAACTGGTATCCAGAGCAACTGTGATGCAAAAGGCCACGCTGGAGATACAGGAAGGGGCTAAAGCAGTGGAAAGGACAATGGAACAGATCATGTCATCAAAACAGAGCAAGGAAACCTAGAACAAAAGGTGTTTTGATCCTCTGCAGCACCGCTCCCCCCCTCCAACCTTTTCAATGCCACCTTGAACGCTGTAAAGCTTTAGGTGTAGCACATACACAGCCAAGGCTGCACTACTGTAAAACATTCCTAGCCTAAATGAGAGCAAGAGCAGGTCATCTGTACCAGGGCCAGATGGTCCAGACCAGTAGCCACAGTGCAGCATCTGCAGCAAGGTTCTGCCTTTAAGTCAGCCGCATCTGAAAAGGGTACGGCACACCTGTCTGATGTACTGCATAACAGCTACTGCAGATATCAGTATCATCCACACATCTCCATAGGAGGGACATTCAATTGGAATGGCCCCAAGTGAGCTGCTTGAGACTACAGCTATTTATAAGACCAAAGTAGACAAAAATCAATTGTAAAACTCTTCTTCAGCAGTCTAGCAGCCAGCACGTGCCTGGCTAACTTTACAGACATGATGGGGTAAAGCTCTAGCTGGGCTCATGTCAAATCCAAAAGGTCATTGCGGCAATCAGTGAGGAAAGCCTCTCCTGTGGACTCCTTATGTAAACTCTGAAGTACGGCACCAAATTCCACAAAGATGCTATTTATATGCATTAGAATGGCATATTAGCAGTAAATCAATGCTAGCAACACTCATGACAAAGAATAATGCCAGCTATCGATCCTTTCCAAACACTGTTTCCTATTAAAAACACCTCCACACACTCAACCCCAAGATGCGTAAGAAACCTATGCATTAGGGAAAGAAGTAGAGACAGTATGAGATGCCAAGTCATAAAATGCTGATGTCTGACCTTTTTTAGGATTATGTTTTGAAACCAAACAGACGTGCTAAGAAGAGAAGGTCTTAAACCATGACATTTAGATTTTGCTTCAAGTCCCTTTCTCTTGGTATTTGTGTATCCTAAGGGATCACACGCATTTCTGAAGTGAAAGGAACTTCGTGTTCATCAGAAGCTGCAAAATCAAAATCTTTAAGCGTAACACAGCCACACTGTTTATGTTACTTCCAATTAAAATATTCAAACAGTTTAAAAATCAAAATCTGAAGTCTTCATTCCAGCCAATTTATCAACCACTTCGCATTCTACCATGCCTCACTGGTACAGCAGACTGCAGCTTAAATTTTAAGCCAGCTCCCCCAGGACACATTTTTTTAAAGTTCTGGAAGATCTTTAAATAGCTCTTTGCCTAACCAGCAGTTTGGACAGTACAGCTGTGTTATAGATGCTACTATCAGTACTGCAGGATGTTATCTGAATAGATCAAAACATAACTCGTCAGGAAAACACCTCTGGAACTTGGTAATGCAGCTCTTCTCCACTTCTACCCAGGAGTAAATGACTGGACCCAGCATACCCATATTAAGCCAAGCAGCAGCACTGAGTAAAACAACTGCCCTGCATTCTCTGCAAGTTAGATCTCATCATTAGAGAGACAGTTTATTGTAGCGTGCTTTACTACATACCACATTAGCTTTACTTCCAAGTTTCTGACATGCTGCAATAGTGCCCATCCTGCCTAGACAGAGTTTGGCACTTCTGGAATAGGATAATTTTCTTTCTTCTTGTGCCTAGCTATTAAATCAAATTGTCAGAGCATAGGGCTTACCAGTTACCTCACTTGCACTTCAGTACAATTGCAGTAATGTACTGCTTTATTTCAATCATGTCACGATGCTCTGAAGCAGAAACTCAATTCTTCTGGACAAGAAATGCTCAGAAGAGAAATGAGAGGCAGGCAGGAGAAGGGAGAATTAGAGGTTTAGAGTAACTCACCGATGTGATAAACCTGTACAAAGGCTGCCGCCTCTCTGTGTATTTCACTGTGATGGGACTCAAATCATAACGAAACCAGATAGCTGGGATAATGCGGCCAGTGTGACTGTAGGCTACGTACTCCTAGAAAAGAAAGTGGGGGAAAAATGGCAGAAAATGTGAGCAATCTCGTTCCAGATAGAGTGTCTGCAATAAAACTGCTTCTGTGGATCTGGCCCTTACTGCACTGTTTTGTACTAATGATCAGACTGAAAGAAGCAAACAGTTAATTCCTGTATGATTTCTCTAGCTTAGATCTGTTCTATTTAAATACAAGCAGTCTCTAAGGGGTTGCAGGTGAAGTTTTTGTACTGTCAGTATGTAAATCATATACTGGGATATTCATCAAACAAACAGAATTGCGTTTGCAAGAACCTGAAAATCCCTTCTTGTCCATGCACTCAGAATAGCAAGCAGCAGCTCCTGTCTGTGAGGCCCCCTTTGCATTGGGATCAACAATGTGAATGCTTTGCCCACTCAGTATGAATCACGTAGAGCCATGTTTAAAAATCATGCTGAAAGCCAAAATGAAACTGTATACAGAAAATTAGCGGCAAAGGTTCAAAAATATTCCAAGCTTGTTCAGGAGAGACATCTTCAGATTGCCAGTGATAATCTCCTTTAATGCATTTCTTCAATAACAGGTACAGTGCAATCAGTCAGTAACAGGACAACACCCCAATAAGACATACTGCACAATGCAATGTAGAACAGATACTAAAATCAACTTAGTATCAAAAGTCACATCTTGTTGAGCTAATATTTTGCCTGTGCTCTCAGTGGAAATATGTATCAAGTTTCAAGGATCAGGACATTTATCTTGACAGACTGAAGAAAAATCAAAGCAAAGGAGGCTGGGGACTCAGCAATCTAATGAGAACCATCAGCACCGGCATGGCACACATTGCCTCTTTACCCAGCTGCTCTTCCCTTCTTTAGCCCTGTGACGTGCCTGCCAACTCAGACGGCTTCTTCTGTTTTAATTCTCTCCTTCACACCGAGGCAAAGACAACCTCATATACTTCAGAAAGATGAAGAAAGGACAAGCAATAGGACACTCATGAGCATGATACAAAAAAGATAATTTTACTTTCCATGAGCTCAGAGGGAGCTTGTGGAACAGCATCTATCTCCTTCATTAATCTCATATAAATCCCAAATTTCCCTCTATTTAGTTTTTTTCCCCATGGATGACAAGAGAAGCAGAATGCAGCTGAAATCTTGAGTCATAATATTTTCAGGGCTTTTATTGCGGAAGTTCTGTAGTATATCTTGGGACAGTGGCTATCTAGGGAAGTGAGGAAACAGGGTCTAGGAGGTAAAAGGGGATAGGAGACAGACGGTCCACACTTAAGACTCTACCTCTTCATACTAGTCAATCTGTGCCAGAGTATTCCAATGGCTTCTGATTTCTGTTTCTCACCGATCAGTATGGGAGTCAAGGACTAAAGCACCAATAAGAGAATTTTTTGTTTTAATGAGAAGAAAATGCAGAGGCAGCACTGTTCCTCTGCACTTCAGTTTTGATAGAACTGACCTCATTTTTTTCCTTCCTCTCCCCTCTTCCCCACCAGCAATCCTGCCCTAATGAGTCAGCCTTGGCCGAACGCCCCCATTTGCAACCATGCTCACAGAAGTGTCAAAAGCTCCTGCTGTCTATTTTCCAAATTACTTTCAGAACTTGTGTCACAAGAGTCTTATCAGAACAAGAGTTGTGACATTAAGCAGAGCAAATACATTGTAATCTGAATAGAGGGAGACATCCAAATCATTGGGACACACTGCACAAGCAAGCCTAAAAGTCACTAGACAGGAAAGTTAATCTAAGAACTAGTCCGTGAGAGTGCATGCTTGATTCTCAGTTATGGTAAACTAGCAGTAATTAGATATTATAAACAGATTCTGGACTTCCACTTAGCACCTGAGTGGCAAATAATTTTAAACTGAAAGAGGCTTTTTACCTTAAAAAGTAAATAGGGTCGTCTTCCCCCCCCCCCCCCCAAATGGGGCCTTCCCCCCCCCCCCCCCAAGTTCAATACATTGTATTATTAAAATACAAATATCTTCATATTTAATGTAAATTAATTCAAGAATTATAAAGTTGCAATAACTATCATAATCACTATAATAAAGTAGGCACTGTGAATTAGTTAACCAGTACAATTTGCTGCTGCAGGTTCAGTGGCTTAATATCTGAAATCAACGTATGTAAAAAGCTAAAAACTGTGCTAACTTATTTGTCTGATACATGTATCACAACTGAGACTGTTCTATTAATAAAACCATGTGTAAGTGCCATTTCGTATGTTCAATTGGATTGCAGTTTCCATCCAGATGCACCTTGACACAAATCACAAGAGCTCCTGCAGCATGTCAAAACCTTCCACACAATTTATGGAAATCTAGATCAGTTACACTGATATATATGAGAAATTCAGGAGTAAGAATACTTTTCTCTAGAATTAAAACAATACCACCACCTGTTCTGACAAGCCCTCACAATCCCAACCCTGGTAAATGCCAGCACCAGGAGCAAAAGGAAGGCCCACTCGAGCTTCAGTTCCTCCTTCTCCCAGCAGAGGCTACTGCTCACCTACGGACAAATGTACATGACTGCAGAGCAGAGGAGCAGGAGGGAGGAGGAATGATGACTGAAGATCCTCCGTGCATCCACTGGGCTGCAATGGGGAGCTTCTCTGAGAACTACCTGCTGCTTTACCTTATTTGCTACAGTATATTGGTATGAATATCGCTGCTTGCCGCTCATGTCTTCGTACACCGTCGGGACTATCTTCAATATGTAATCATGAGATGCAAGAGCTGCGGTCAGGAAAGGAAAGGAAAGTATAAGTTAGCATTCAGAGAAAGGAATCACAGCCTACACAACATTTCAAAGTAAATGTGCGAAATCAACGAAAACAAGTCAGTCACAGAAAACGTATCTCCCTCCTCCTTATCTCAGGTTCTGTGACAAAGTGACAATTTCACATCCTACATTTACATCCTTTGTACAAAACTTTGTAAGGTACTTGGATGACACCAGAACCTGCCCACCAGTCTAAGACTTCTGTAGCACCATGACCCACAGAGATGAGTGTGGGTCACTTGAACCTTCCTAACTGCTTGCAGCTATAAATGGTATGACTTACCACCACCACAGAGCTGTCCCCGTTAAATCAAGAACTAGCTAAGGTTAGAGCCCCAGCTCACTGAGCTTCTTTTGACAGAAAAAGCTGAGGCATGACAACCTGTGTAGTCCCATTCCTTGTGCACCTTTCTTTCTTTCTCTTCTTCCTTCTCCTACAGCTGCTTAACAATTATTAATTCATTTTTTTTCATTATTTAAATGGCTTGTGCCCTTTTTTGTGTCTGCTGAAACAGTTCTAAACCAGAATTCTAAATGATTTCTCTGCAGGGTCCTTTGGCCAAGTATAACACAATGACATTTGGCTCCTGGAGGGGAAAAAAAAAAAACTGCACCAAAACCCACAATTGTCTAGCTTCAGGAACAGCCATAGAAACTTTGTTCCAAGAAGTTGACAAGACTGATATCCTGTGGGAGCCTGAACACTTGAAGGAGAAAAGCTACGCTGAATTGTAGCATGCACTGGAGATTTCTTTTTGTGTTGTTGATCATAAAGAAGGGCAATGAAAATGTCTATCCTTCCAGCCACAGGGCAGAACTTAAGGTAAGCGCTAACTCGCAACACAAGAACAAGGAAAAGTTCTGGTGGTGGTGACAGCAGCAAAGGGAAGCTGTAGAATAGGATATGGATAAGAAACTCGGTAGCTCTGAGTTGGTCATAACAGAGCTGGAGACAATGTCCAGGTTGCAGAATGGCTGCAAAGGACCTTTTGGACTAAGGCTTCTCTATGGTACTGGAGAAAATGGAAATGTCAGTCAGCAATGTCTGGATCATTTTGGTTGAAGAGGCAGATTAAAGACTTTTGGATACACCAGTGTTGCATGAATGGCCCTGTTTTTTCCCTCCTGCAGAGAGTGGCTAAGACCTGTAATCACCAAGAATACGTACGATTCGAGCTGAGTTTGTCTGCTCCCTCCAAGGCATTGAACGCTCCATGAACATTATGGACCTGGAAAGCAAAAAGGCATATGAAGAAACTATGCTCTGACTTGGTACTCTTGACCTTTGCTTCCCTATCCTATCCTGTAACAAGGAGATCAGCCTGATTCAACCTTTCCAAAAACAAAGCCTCAATCCAGTAAAAGATGACTTGAAATGTCTTTCAGTGACCATCACCACAGAGGTTGGTTCCAAGTAAAAAAGTTTATTTCACAATATCTTACAAGATGAAACTCCAAAACCACTCCAAAGCCAAAGGAATTGCAGTTAGAAGAGGCCAGTTGTGAAATTTCATTGTGAGATATTTCCTAAGAGCTTTGCATAGTTAACTGTGAAATTAATTTATCACACTGAAAGGGAAATAAATGGGAGTCATATTCAGGTTAAAACTCAAGACTTCTACTGTAAAGGTAGCTCATGTCAGAGCAGTTGGGCTTGTACAGCTTTAACTCATTAGCCCAGCTTTCACACCACACACACTATGCCCCTGGAGATTGGAAGGACACATGCCAGCACTGCCATTCATTCAGCTTTTCCTGCAGCTGGTCCCAGGCATGCAAGTATCTGTTTGCCCAGAATAACAGGATTTCCATCCCATGCCTTCCACATACTATGATCTGGACTCTGATGTCCACCAACAGAATAATCAATTTGTGAACTCTCTAGACAGGGAAAACCCCACAGCAACAGCTGTAGATTAAAGGTTGCATCATTCACATAATGTACAGTAAGCTATACAGAAAGGACAAATAACTCCACAACCTAAAAATTCCTGACCTTAAGCCAGACAAGAGGGAGGAATAGTTTGGAAGAAGTATTTGGTCATGGGTGTGACAGATTTTCACCTCGCTAACAGAGCAATGCAATCTCCTTCCCAGACCCTCTCCACAACTGATAGCATGTGAATGTATTTGTCTCATCCTAATGGCTGTTTCCCTATTCTGAATGCTACGGAGTGGACGATGGTTTGGAGGAAGTAGCAACTGAATCTGCTTCTCTCCTGAGAAAGAAAATTCTAGAGAGACAAATCCATCAGCAAGTTCAACTGGCAAGGTGCTGGTAACAAGCACAGAGCAAAAGCAGCAGCTGAACCTTCTACAGTGCCTTTCAGTCTGCCAGCATTTCAAATATTTTACACAACAGCAAAACCATTTCCGAACTACACATGCAGACTGCACATATTCTTTACTCATTGTAAAAAGCATATGAAGAAAGAGGAGTCTCTGGACTGGGCTACAGTATTATGTCCCATTCTTGATACAGCTGAGAAGTCTCTTGTAGAACATCTGGGCCAGAGACTTTAAGGTCCACTTCAAACACTCGAACAGAAAATATTTGAGTAGTTATTCAGCAAACAACTGTATCTATCCTGTGAGGTACCAGTGTATTTGGACTTACATTCTTATCCTTGGCTCCCCAGCATCCACACTTCTGTTTCTATGTAAAAGCTGTCTGCTCTGCATCTCTCTACCCAGTGACACACAGACAAAGCCACCAGACATCTCCACAACTGCCTCTTTCTGTGCCATCAGGTCCTTTGGTGCATCTGCCTCTCTTGTCTTTGCAACACAGATGGCATTTGTAACTCCCAGTCTGATGTTTTACCATGATTTTCCTTGTGGAATATTCTAGACTCCCATTACCATACTTGCTGTCCGTAGATTGCTAATTACTCTCTGCTCTACAAAGTGCACAGGTGTGTTCCTTAGGGGAACATACTTGTTTGTACCTTGTTAAGTACCTGGAGGGACTTCAACAAGGAGTAAGCTTTTGGCCACAGTAACAAAATTGCTTTGCAACAGAGAATTTAAGTGAGCCTGTTTAGCCAGATGTTCTCAGGACTGTCCTGCACTACCAAGGCCAAATCTAGTGCTTGGAGTAGTGGCACAGGAGGCTAGTCAGTGGTTTAACAGTGTCAACACTTTATTCTCCTGCAACATGGACCTCAAAAAGATGCTTGCCAGGGTCTTGAACACCCTAGGCTTTAACATCTACAAACACATGCAAAGACATATAACTGGACATATAACTTAGGCAGAGTCCAACAGCAGGCTAAAATAACTTCCAACCTCGCAACTATCAAGGGAAGACAAGACCTCTCACGAGGTTAAAACTAGGATTATTCAACACCATGATCTAGCACTCAACAGAATTCTATGATTAAAAATATATAATCTCCTACTGTCCACATCTCTTTTTTACTGGGTTACCTGACATGCAAGAACCATATTGGTTTGAATTTTGGTCTCATCTACACGAGGGAAAAATCTACAAAAAATCTGCCACTATTGTGCATGAACTACTGTTGAAGAACTGAAGCTCCTTCAATGCCAGATGAGATTTAAATCTCTATTTCAAACAGACTGTTTTTTCTGGAGAACACAGCATGTACCTTAGTGGATCATTCTTGCAGAGTTGGTAACAACCTACAGAGAACTAACTCCCAGCACATGACACAAGCGAATGAGAAGCTCCTCACCCTCTTTAAGAAATATGAGCATATGTTACACCAAAGCAGGTGGAGACAACCCAAAATATTCAAAGGTGTACCTAGATAGATTGAAAGCTCTCCGTACTTGCTGGCTCTCTACGGTGCTTGCTCAGTCTTGGTAGCACCTGTTTAGTGAACATATCTTTCTTTAATTTGTGCTGTTGAATGCACATTTGCCTGCAGGATCAGCAGCACCTACATGCTCCATTCTTCTGTATGGAGATGATGAGTAGTTATTTTGAACTTTGAAAATACTAATCAGAATTTGTCCAAATCAGGAGCCAGCTACATGTTTGCTAGACAGGTTTCTCACCACCAGAACTGAAGACGCTTGCTCCTTTGCCCCCAACTATCCAGGCTTCTCATATCATTCATGCTGATTCACACTTCAGCTCCATTACTCAAAAACTCCATGATAAAACAATGGGAATGCTACCTTAGAGCACTGATTTCCCATGCAAACTGCAGAACTCCCTATTAGCACTTACCTAATATTTTTCATAATCTCAGTGTGCTTTACAGACATTAAGCCAAGCTTATTTATATGCTAATATTTCAGCGTTCCCACACAAGATATTTCCTAAAAGAAGCCGGGAGCAGAATCAGAAGACTACAAAGCAACGCTTAGACTTGTTAGCATGAAAAAGGGTTTTGGAAGTGGGTGTACAAGAAGCAGACTAATGAGACGTCTGTGCTGAGGAAAGAAGATTACAGAGAGACTATGGGTAAGCAATGTTTAGGGTGAGTCGCAAACTGGGTGTGCACATATAACTCCCACCTATGATGCTAGCTCCTTGGAAGTAGGCTAGAGAAGTGCTGTAATCTGTCCTTATTGAGAAATCAGGAATTATTACATAACTTGCAACACCTGGTGAAACTCTATCCACTGGGCAAGTACACACATTCAGCTTCTTCCCAACAGGGAACTGGCAGTTCTAAGTCTAACTTGTGTTTCATAGAACAAATTTGACTAATAGGTGTCTGCTATACAAGTACAATGAAGTGAATTAAAAAGAACTTGACTGGTACCATGGTAAACACAGTAGCAAGCACACATCTTCCCTTAGCATACTTAGTGCTCCTCTGCAAAGGCAGTCAAGATTCGTTTGGTGCATTAATACTGAAAACAGTACCACATAGGATTTTGCAAAGCCATGAATCCTCATTTCTATTCCCTGCAGGAAGACAGCCACATAGTTTCCCAAAAGCACTTTCAGTTTCAGATGAAAACAGCAAAGTTACTCTATGACTGGCTACTGCTCCTTCCTGAAGTGGTGGCATGTAAACAGTTTGCAAACTCTTCCACACTGAGTGTACATTGCATGAATGCAACGGATGGGCTTGCTTACCCAGGCAGTCCTTTCTTATGTCCTCCCCACACTGTACATGGCCCTTCCATAAAACCAAAGTGTCTAATATTAAAGGTCACTCTCATTGCATTCATTCCCCTAGAGCCAGGGAATTTTCAGGGAAGAGAACTCACCTGTAACTTGTCCCCAAATGAGAGCTTGTGGATGATGTGAGTCATGTCAGGATTCTGAGGCTGCGCAGTGGCACTGTGTGTTGACACGTGAAAGTTACCAGGGACCTAAAATTAGTCAAGACAAGGAAGACAGGATTTCACATTTTATCCCTCAAGGCATTGCTAGCCTCTGTGATATGAAGCGGAAATGCCTGGATCCATCCAGCCTGGCAGGCTGTATCTACTCAGCAGTGGACCGCCTCTGGCATGTCAGAGAAAGGCTCTGAAATACCTTCCTGCACTTGACCAACACCACCATACTGCATACAGAGCGGAGATCAGTTGCGTCCTGCAGCCCAAGAGTCTGGCACCCTCACGTTGCTGCTGCTGCTGACTAGGAGGTGATGAGTGGATCACTCCCAACTTCAGGGATTCCTAACACTTAAGGCTATGTCTTTCATCCCTATTAAAATAAGATTCATGTCTTTGACAGGCAACAAACAGTTGCTTAATGTTTTACTCCCACATCTCGCATTTGTTAATGGGGCCACTGCTGCAGAACAACCCAAGAAAGCTGAGGATATATTCTTATTGTAGTACTGGTCATGAGCAACCTTACATTTGAGAAGATTGTGCGTAAGAATGAGTTTTATATAAAAAGAGGAAAAAACCTACCAAAACCAACGGGGCTTCCCATACAAACTAAGCTAGATCTTCAGCTCTAGCAATAGTCCTTCCAAGTACAGGATTTTCTCTTTCTAATTTTTTAAGCAGAGGGAAATACAAACTTCTGAAAAATACAGATTTCACCTAAGGACTCAGTTCCAAGACAGAAAATGAGCACTGGTGTCATTCTGACGGGATCACTCTAGCATGCACACACTTTTCAGGTCACTAGCCCTACTCCATGAAGTCATTCAGCAGATTCAGCTCAACCACTGTTTATCGAGGGTGCAAAAATTTTTTTCCTATCAAGAAAAGGTTGGGAAATTAAGCAACACTGAGGAGCAATCTGACATGGCCTAAGACAAGAGTGGGAGGATGGTTATACAACTGGTGCCCATTGCGCTCTCTGCAGAGACACCTCACCAGCAGGGCCATGGGAGGCCACATGCTGGTTCCATGTGCTTTCAGGAAAGCTAATTTAAATGACTTGAGGAACAGCAGTGCACTCCTGGGAACACTTTCAGGTGTGGACACAAGGTGTGTCATACACAAGCTCGGTAAACAGGGTGGCAGACTCTGCAGTAAGTAGTACACACAATCATCTCACTGTTACCTTGTCCTCCCTCTTCAGGTTTGAGAGTAACACCCAAGTGCAACCCTTGGTCAAGTTTCAAAGCCTGGCTATGTCCTACTCCAGATACCAGCTCATACAGAAGCCTGTAAAATTTCTGCCAAGGGACTGCAGACTTCCAGCTCATACATGAGAGGTTCAGGTTTTCAGAGCCAGAAGTCCTGGGCCAGGTCCCCTCCTCTGACAGCAGTCCCAGCCGCTGTATGAGACAATGCTATTAGTGGCCTTTCACAGATTAAGCCGTGAAGGGAGCCCCTCACTGCCACATACAGCAACCCCCTTTTGAGTTGCTTTGGTGAGCAGAACACACCACATCTAGAAGACAAAACCCCAAGTATTTCAGCTCTGTGCTTTGGGAATTAACAGAACAAGAACTACCTTTCAAGAAGCCCTTTCCCAGTTTTGTGGACTATCAGCTGCCAGTAATCTTGGTGGCTTAGAGGTGAGGAAAAAAACGTCCTCTTTTTAAGTCCCTAATCCTTTCCATGCCACAGAATCAGTAAGAGGTTCTGCCTGTTATTTTTAGATGTGATTTAACGTGACCTGAGAGGAAAAGAAGGAAGTAGGATTTTGTAGCCTGTGGTACATGAGGAGGCATGAATAAAGGGTGTGCCCTTCTTAGGACATCAGTGGGCCCCACCACTGCCTCCCCCACCCCAGCTAGTCATCTCCAGCATTACATAGCAAGATTATTCAATTCTGAACGCTCCCACCCCAGAGAGGAGCCTCCTCCAGGCCTAGATTTTCATTCTTTGAGACAGAAGCGGAGCATCCCGACAAAGCATGCGCAGAGGCTGCATGCACATATTCCAAACATCTCAGCACGGAGCCACTTCTGTTACACTGGCACCCTCTAATAGGGAACATTCCTGTCATTCTGCAGCTCTCAGAACAAAAGAGCACTTGGATAGAGACGTTGCCAAAGACCTCTGCACAGTGAGTCACATTTTGGAGGTGCAAAAGTCTTGACGAGTAAACATAGAAGCCATCGGGCATTCGTAGGGAATTCATACATCCCCCAAACATTAGGCTGCTGCACTGAAAGAGACAACACTGGCTGCAACACAGAGCTGTTCTCTGCTGTTAAGCAATGCTATCTCGATTACCTGTTTCAGAGAACGAAGCAAAAACCTGACCTAGCACAGTCTCTGTGGGTCTAATTATGCAGCCTCCTCTCCCCACACTGTTCTGCAGCACCGAGAGACTTAACCTTACCACTGATTAGGGACATGAATGTACACTCTACAGGAGAGACGCTGACACACAAATTTTCATGAGCATTTTAGAAATGGATCTTGCTAGCATTTCCCCAGCCAGTGCACACTCACCCCCTGTCATTCCTACTCACCTTGTTGATGCTGAAATGGCCCTCAAACCTGCAGCCATCCCCATTATTGAGAGGTATCTTCATCGAGTTGTCAATATGACCCACTTCGTGCCTTCCCATTTCATCTTGGATGTCTAGTCCAACTACTGCATGGGTGGGAGGGGAGAAGACAAAAAAAATCAAAACAAGAAATAACAAGGTTGCACAGGAAAAGCATGCACTGCTTTTACTGGGAAAAAATCCACATCTTTTTTCCTGACATTTGACTAAACTGTGCTAGTAATGTCATTTGTCAAATATTGTTATACCAGCTCTTCAGAAAGAACTTTGTAACCAAACTTTTCAGACTGCCTATTTGACACAAATATAAGTCCCATATCCTGCCAGCTGACTGCAATCTCAATTACACAAATAGAAAAACTTCGGGTAGACAAGGCAGGTGATTTGTGAAAAGCCAACAACTAGCTGGCGCATTCAGAGTTACAAATGAAACTTGGGAGGTTTCTTGCTTCCAGACATGAAAAGGTTGCTATGAAAAAAGGAAATGAGATTTAGAAAGAAGCCAGTGAGGGAGGCCAGCCACTAACACAGGCTGCAGAGTGACACAGGGTCCAAGAAAAGAGGTGTCCTGGCCTGGAACAGAAAGCGATGGGGTATTGGCAAAGGCTGCAGCTACCTGATCTCCATCCACCCTGTTAGAGAAGAAGGGCCACTATACCAGTTTGGGCCCATTTCAAGTATTACTTAAAATAATAATAAAAAAAACCCCAAACCATAAGTGAAAAGGGGTACTCACATTCACAATGCAGGTTTGGCAAACTGATGTTCAGATTCACTTCTATTTTACCTCCACTGTCTTTGTCTGGGTCATCCACGTAGAGCTCATTAACTCTGGAGGACAGAAAACACAGGTGGGTTCAGGCACATAGCTACTTTCCACAGGAAAAAAAGACAACAACTTGCACGGGAAGGGAAAAAAGGAGACTTTGAAGCAGGGGGTTTGACTGTGTGACAGCTGCAACAGAGTAACCAAGACAGAGAGCAGGAAAAGCCCTCCACAACTGCATGGGGACAAATCACGATTTAATTTTACGTCTTGCTTGGCAAGTGCAGGAGGCTTTAAACAAGTCCCTTGCACCAGCGGAAAACAAAACTCCTGCTCTGATTTATGCTTCCTGCCCCATTCTCTAACCTGAGTTTCCAGAGGTGACACAAAACAAGAACCTAATGTTGAAGAGGAGGCAGGCTAGCGTGCTAGTCCTCCGCATACTCCTTTTAGGAAAGAGGGAAGCACGCGTTTTTCGATTTGTTTCATAAATAGTTTTAGAGAAAGGCTGCTCTCAACTATCCTACAGGAAAGCTTATTTGCATAACTAATTGCCTTTGGTTATTGCCATCCAATTGACAGCGCAGCAGCAAGAGAAGGCAGCATGGCATACTTACAGCTCTCTCTTTAATATCTCATTTCAATCTATGAATGATAACCAGAAGCAACAACTAAAATTGAGGAGCAGAGGATTTGAGCCAGGAACAGATGGGAAGAAACATCCTGGACAGCAGGATCTAACACACTATGCAACAGTCTCCCAAAGAGTAATGTTGTTTCATAGCACCCACAGTGCTGGCACATATTTCACAGAAGACAAAATACAGAGTAAAAGGAATACAAGAGTATAAATATTTATTGTTGGCAGATACAATCCATCTGACACCTAAAAAAACCCCCAAAACAAACAAAAAAAAAAACCCAACACAAGCACAGCCGACTTAGCTGAACGGTCCTAGAGAATCCACTCCAGGGAAACTCACCACACTGAACTGAGAAGATGGCGAGATACCTAGCAGCTCTTTCTCCCTCAAAGTCCAACACTGTTCAGCCTCATCAAATAAGAAGATCTGGCAATTTATCTTCCAGTCAGATAGATTACAAAGCTATGGGAACTTATGTTCAGGCAAGCTAAATGAAATAAACTACCTTCACTAGTAAGTGCTCTGTATTATTTTTATTTAATGCTCAAAGTGCATGAAACCCTTTGACAAGCCCTTGCTTAAGAGTCTGTATGCTAATAGACAAACCAGACTAAGGGCAGCTACAAGACAGATTCAAAGTGATTTTGCTGTGGTGATACATCTCTGGACCATAATGAACTGTTTGCCCTGTGGATTCAGAAGAAACAAGCCTTCACACTGAGAAACACACAGCTGCCAATTTTTTTGGAGGTAATTACTCACAGGTCAGTGGGGTTTACAGACACTCATTTAAAACCAGCACAGCATTTGTCTTCAGCTTCACAGCCCTACCTTTCTCTGTTTTTAATTGGCTTGACAAGTTGCTTGCAATCATTACTCAACGTATTTTTCAAGTGATTAATAAAAATGACACAGAGGGAGGGGAAGATTGCTCATCAGTGACCTAGTTAGAAGCTTCTTGGCTGAGCCCTCCTGGGTGGAATGCATCCAATCTTCTATGTGTTTATTACTGGCAGATTGGGTAGCGATCGGGATTAAGTCATATGTCCAAATACGGTTGTGAGGAGCAGCTCCAGCCAGGACAGGCATTAATCCCCCAAAGCAATGCACCTTTCTGCACTCCCTGAGTCCTCTCATCAAGATCCCAGTTGCCAGCCAACCTGTTTCGTAACAGCACCTGGCTTCTTCCCAGCTCTCTGCTGTCTGAGATGTGGGCCATGCCCAGCCAGCGCCACGGGCAACTTGATGTTACTGGCAAAAAGGAGCATTTGCACCAGGGCTGGCAGAGAAGCGCATCAGGTTCGGCAGCTCAGCTGAACATCCCAGGTCTTTGAAGGAAAGCTCTGGGAAGGCCAATATGTGTATTTGCTGATTTCCAATTCTGAACCTGTCAGAAAATGTGCGGTCAGGCATGGTCTGTGAGCAAAGGCACATAAGCCTTTCAGTGATAAGTGAGTGAGAAGTGGTTGCTGGTAGGAGTCAAAGAATAAGCTGTGCACAGGGAGCCTATGGAAGCTCTTACATAGGAAGGCAAGTGGTGAGGTCACTCAGTTGCAGACTGGATCACTGAGGCAAACAGAAGTAGGCCAGTTTGTCCACGTCACTCAGCCCATTAGTCGCAGATAAAGGAAACTGGTTTCCTGTCCCACACTCCGGTCACTGGACCAACAATTCCCAACCTGTCCCTTGGGCAAGGCTCACGGCCACTTCCTCCTCCTCCTCTTTACCTAGTAGCCCCCTGCCCCTCATGTTCCAAATTTCATAACCCTACCTATCACTCCTTAGACATCTGACCACTCGTGACAGTCTGTCCTTCATTCCCCTCCCTTGGGCCTGCAGTGCC